CAAATCACTTTGGTTTATTAATCTATTTAAACACTAAAACAAAATGACCTGTTAGTCAATTAATTAATGTTTGAATTTTTATTCTTGGTTTAATACATAAAGTGCCATATACTATCATGACTTATTGTTATTCTAGGAGGAGAATATAATTATATATTTCCCTTTGATCTTAGCAAGAACCCTGGTGCTGAACGGACATCAGTGCCCATCTGTTCATTTTCGTAATGTTTCTACCGTAGATTCTCGAGGTAAGGAAAAAAGTCTTTTTATGTGTCAACCCCATGCATGATCTAGTAAAGCAGATCAGATGTAGCTCTAAAGCTGTTTTTTGTGTTTGTTCAATATATATGTATGCGACTTTGCTTGTAATTAGTTAAACATGTAATGGAAAAATGTACAGTATAACACTAAGCAGTATGCAATTTTATATTAACAAAATGTCAGACATGATGTACATCCCTAATATTAATGTACAAAAAGACGGAATAGACGTACTGAACCATAGAAGAAAACTGTAATTTTATTGTGACCAACAGTCAACCAACAGGCAACCTGACAGTGGGCCAACTGTTTATCAACTGTCGATCAACAATTGGTCGACAGATCTAGATACAATGCATACCATGGGTATGAATTGTCATGAAAGTACTTATATATATATTAGCCTGTTGTTTGGCTACTTGGTTTTTATTGTTTTCTCTGATTTAATCTGGTGCCTATGGTGTATTAATTATCTTTGACATGTATGCAAGTGTTTATATATGTGCACTGATCTGACTGCAATTGTTGTTTAACAATTACTCATATAGCATGAACATCAGTTAATATCCCTTTTTTTTTTCTTTCTTACAGGATTTCAAGTGGTTGTTGCTGCTCAGTTTGTAGTTGTGAACCTGATTTTTACGTCTACTTAGGTTCAATTTTTGGGTGCCACACCAACAAAGCCAGAGTTGGCATTCACAATGGATTTGATGAAGTTGCTGCTCACCCTTAATCTTGAATGCCAAGTGGCTGTAAAAGAATTTTGTTCTGCGATTCAGACCCTTGTTAATGATATTATATCCTTTCCGGTATTAAGATAGTTTAAAAATTATGAAATTCTTTTCTCCTTTGCTTTTAAAAACTGTCATATTGTCCATATATGCTGTGTCAGTCAGCTTACTTTACTTTCTTTTAGCTAGTTAACGAATAATATTTAGCCGTAAGGTTTTTTTATGTACTACTTTAGAACCAGAGGAAATTATATCCAGTTATTATTGACAGTCTCAAAGAGTTCAGGTTAGTAATAAGACTTATTTAATATAATTTTATAGTAATAGACTAGCTGTTTCCTTATATATTATTCAGTGAAGTGGAGGTGGCTTGTGGATATTTAGCGAGCTGCATTTGAAGTGCTAGGTTAGGTGAATAGTATTGTTTTACTATGTACACACTGTGCTAAAACAGTTACATGATATATAATTGAGCTCACGAATGAAACAGAATTTAATTGCCGTCTTTGTGAACGTCCAGATCACAGCTTCTTCATTATAAATATGGTAGCAGAATAACTGGTGTGAATAAGCACTGGGTTGTTTGAGTAGCCAAACAAAGAGCAAAAAGCACCAATTATATCCATTTGGTAAGTGTATAATGATACTTACTGTCAGTAGTTGATATTTTTATGTCACAGCTGGTCTCTCCTATATAAAGATGAAGCGAAGCTCCTAGCTAATCATAGTGCTCTATTTTCAATAATCATCAATGTAGTTATGCTAATTGTATGTATTATGATATCAGTGGTTGACATTACCTTATTGTCGATTGGTGGTTGGATAGTTATCGCTGTAGATGGTCAGTGATTCGTCAAACCTGATCATGGTATTGATGCTACATGTGTATGAGGGGTGTGGCTGCACTGAGAATAACCAATGGGATGTGAACTTTTTATTACAACATTCCTTTTGTAGACATCTTTTAAGGGAGTTATTACATGTAATACTCTTTCCCATGTGGTGACCTGTACATTGTACTACTGCATAGACAATATTTAACTCTGATGGTTCACTAACCATTAGGTTACTTCTCAGCATTTTGTATTGTATTGTCATTTTGAATCAGGCTGGAACGCGTTTTATTTGAATTGGAGAACACAGATGGTGTAAGTCAGCGCTGTACCACTTCTTGTGTGGAGTATACAACAGTATGAGATGCTGCTTGTGACAGAAGCAAAAAGGTGGCATTGGTCGATCTGCATACTAAAGTTATTGAGCGGTGGTTCTTGTTGAGTTTGATATCATTTGATATATGATAAAAAGTGTAATCATAACTATAACAAAGTTCTCAAATCTGACTGGCTATCAACTGTCCTGATTTCAGCCTTAATAGGACAGTACGCACCATCACGCGCGCGCTTAAATGTTTTTTTTTTTTCACTGCTAGCCGAAAAAAGATTGGAATTTCTTGTGTTTCGATTTAAAAAAAGAGCCTTATATATCACAAGTTTTGTTAAAGTTATGATTAATTTTTAACAGAACTTCCTGTGGTCCAATTTGGTCTGTAATCATGCTCATGATTAAACAAATCAAACTCCCGCAACTCGGTCCTCCGATTTTGTTAAGCACTCGTATGATTACAGACCGAATTGGACTCCACTCAGTCGTGTTACCATTACTAATTGTTGCGGTTATGATTCCAAGCTGCTAGAACGCATTCTTGAGAAACAAGGACATGGTCCGTTTTCATGAAACGTTTGATTTTAGTGACCCATTAAAAGCAGTGTCTTTATGATTTCTTTAAACCTGCCATCACGGCGCTATCAACGTAGTACAGTTTTGCTTTGTCGAAAATATAGGCCAGGGCATAAAATAACTTGCTAGTCCTGATGCTTTTGGGCTCGAGGACTAGACAAGTGTCAGGAATTTCCCGTCTTAACATTACGGGGTTTTGTCTTTTCACTTACTGTTTGATTTTTATTTTTTTCTTGGTTTTTCTTGAACTGTCTTCTGTCCTTATCACTTAGATGGCCATGACCTTTCCAAACGGCTTTCCAAGCAGATTGGTCCAGCAACAAAGAGCATGCGAACCGCTCTAGATAAATTCAACAACCTAGAATGCAGTAATGCTTGCCCATTCCCACGCTCCTTGGAGTTCGATCAAGTGAAGAACCCGGAAGCAGACGTTTGGTTACGATCGGAGTTTGTTGGTTCTGACTCGCCAGTACCCATAACCGTTAGACGTAGAGCAATCGATCTGTACCATCTGCTGGATAGAGCTAAAGAAGAGGTGACCTTACTTCAGGAAGAGATGAGAAACGTAGTTGAACACTTCAGCGGGCAGCACGCGACGTTTTCCAGTTCGTTAAAAGATGCCACGATATCTCCTTTGTCCTTAGAGGAGTTAGGGAAAATATATTTCCGAAAATGAAACTGGTGTCTTTGGAGGGACAGCTTTTAGAGGTGAAAAAGAGTTTTCCAAGGTCACATCGGAGAAGTCCCTCTCCCGAACTTAATTTTTGATCGAAACAGTATTCCGTTACAGGACGATGAAAACGAGGCTGACGAAGTGTCTGAGTTGTTGCTAACCCTCCCGGAAACAGAGGAGGATGAAGTGGACAGTGAAAAAGAATGCGAGAGCGATTATGACGATACCGACAGCACTTTTTTTAGTTCTTCGGGAATATTGCTTTAAACTAGAAAAGCGTTAACTATTCCACTATATTTCGGGCTCCTCTGGACCTCCGCAATCCTAATGTCCACGTTGCTAGTCTGCATGAATTATAGGGCGAAGTACGCATTTGGGGCTGTCAATGCTCCCATTTTCTAGTAAATGAAAATCGTCAAGCACCTGAATCAATTGTTGTGAAATCGTTGTTTTCCTACTAGTTCTCATCGACTATCGTGCCAAGAACGCTTTTCTCGCTATTTCATCCAATTTTCTAATGAATGGGAAAATCCTGCTCCTTAATATCGCGCTTTCAAATTAGTGTGTGGGGTAAACAAGCGTAATTTTTCCTGGTTAGCTGGAAATAAGTGTGTGTGTTTCAACAGCTACAGTAGACAGACACATAAAAACCAAGTGGATTCAGGGGCACTAAAAAGGAGCACGGAAAATACTTTTTAGGCTATCCCAAGTACTTTTAGATGTCTTGAAATGCCTTGCATTCTAAGCGGCCCTATATAATTTGTATCTATTCGGAGCTCCTAGAAGAAATTGAGTCTTTTCGAAATTACGAGGGTTTTAGTATTATTTTCCGAAAGAGATATTTTACAGAAAACAGTCGTTGGGTGCCGCTGTTTGTGGATTGAGAATCTCCTGTTATAAATTTGCAACTGTCATGCCAAAAATACAAGAACCTTTTTGGCCAAGTTACTTGTAGGTTAAGAAGGTTGTTAAGTGTGTGTTGGAGTTTAATTATCCTAAACGTTTTAACCAATGAGTTTGGATTTGAGAGTGCATATTTATATTACATGAAAATAAGGTCACGGTAACAAACTGTATTAAGTAATAAAAGTATCAATGTAAAAAAGGTTTATAAAAAGACAAAATAAGTACATGCTGTAATTTTGTCTTCATAAACGGGCATCGTATAAAGGAGATTGCAATGAATATTTGTCGATAAATATTGTCTATGTTGAAGTTACTTTTTTATCTCAGTTATTTTTTTGGTATGGTAATGTATGCTAATGAAGTTGAAAAATGAAAATTACCCGAGATAAAAAAAAATTAACTTTAATACGTATAGATGTCAGGACAAGACTCACGTTTGTTAATTTTTTCTATTAGTCAACAACTATATCTCTTTTATAGAAATTGAGAATTCAACTGAAGAGAAGTACCTCTAAAATACAAGAACCTAACTTTGATCTCCTAAACTAAGGATCCCCTCGAAAATAACGGCTATGCGAAAGTAACGTCAATTTGCTACCTTCCGAGTAACCCCGAAAGTAGCTACTTGTAAGACCCCAAGTAGCAGCCCTTTAAAAATTACCCCTCAATTACAACTTCAATAAAGTTGTTTATTGAATTTATTTCTTTCTTGATTTAAGCAACTGAAACGGGAAAATATCATTCTTTTGAAAAAATTGGAAGTTTTCCATCAAATCGGTCGTTATTAACTAGTTATCGCATTTTGTGACCTATGAGGATAAGTCATGACTTTGAATGACTTGGTAAAAAAATGAGTGGTTACAGCATTTTTTTACCGGATAACCGAGAAAATATACAAAAATTACCTTTTTGTCGGGATTTAGTTGTGTGTACATCGTTTCTTTTATTGAATGTTGAACCAGTGCGCTCTTTTGATTTTTCAGCACTTCCACGGTTGCCGTAACATCGGGCTGTTTCCGCCAACAATGCATTTAGGGCACTTCGATCCCATTTTGCATTTAAATCAGGTTGTTTCCTTCATTTTGCATTATGGCACTTTAATGCTTTGTCGTAAAATCTGGCCGTTCCCTCTAGTTTCCATGAAAGGTTTGCTCAACAGTGCATTTTAGGCACTTAGATGCTTTGCCACGAAAGGTTTGATCAAAGGTGCATTTTTGGGTCCCCTTACGTTTGCATGAACGACAGGGTCAACAGCGCATTTTTGGGCACTTGGATGCTTTGCCGTAAAATCGGGCCGTTTCCTGTAGTTTCCATGAAAGATAGGGCCAGCAGTGTACTTTTGGGTACTTAGATGATTTGCCGTAAAATGGGGCCGTTCCTTTCAGTTTCCATGAAAGACAGGGTCAACAGTGCATTTTTGGGCACTTAGATGCTTTGCCGTAAAATCGGGCCATTCCCTCTAGTTTCCATTAACGATAAGGCCGGCAGTGTAATTTTGGGTACTTAGATGATTTGCCGTAAAATGGGGCCGTTCCTTCCAGTCTCCATGAAAGACAGGGTCAACAGTGCATTTTTGGGTACTCAGATGCCCTGCGGTAAAATCGGGCGGTTCCCTCCAGTTTCCATGAAAGACAAGGTCAACAGTGCATTTTTGGGTACTTAAGATGCCCTGCCGTAAAATCGGGCCGTTCCCTCCAGTTTTCATGAACGATAGGGCCAGCAGTGTAACTTTGGGTACTTAGATGCCCCGCCGTAAAATCGGGCCGTTCCCTCCAGTTTCCATGAAAGACAGGGTCAACAGTGCATTTTTGGGTACTTAGATGCCCCGCCGTAAAATCGGGCCGTTCCCTCCAGTTTGCATAAAAGACAGGGTCAACAGTGCATTTTTGGGTACTTAGATGCCCTCCCGTAAAATCGGGCCGTTCCCTCCACTTTGCATGAAAGATAGGGTCAGCAGTGCAATTTTGGGTACTTAGATGCTTTGCCGTAAAATCTTGTCGTTCCCTCTAGTTTCCATGAAAGGTTGGATCAAAGGTGCATTTTTGGGTTCCCTTACGCTTGCATGAACGACAGGGTCAACAGCACCTTTTTGGGCACTTAGATGATTTGCCGTAAAATGGGGCCGTTCCTTCCAGTCTCCATGAAAGACAGGGTCAACAGTGCATTTTTGGGTACTCAGATGCCCTGCGGTAAAATCGGGCGGTTCCCTCCAGTTTCCATGAAAGACAAGGTCAACAGTGCATTTTTGGGTACTTAAGATGCCCTGCCGTAAAATCGGGCCGTTCCCTCCAGTTTTCATGAACGATAGGGCCAGCAGTGTAACTTTGGGTACTTAGATGCCCCGCCGTAAAATCGGGCCGTTCCCTCCAGTTTCCATGAAAGACAGGGTCAACAGTGCATTTTTGGGTACTTAGATGCCCCGCCGTAAAATCGGGCCGTTCCCTCCAGTTTGCATAAAAGACAGGGTCAACAGTGCATTTTTGGGTACTTAGATGCCCTCCCGTAAAATCGGGCCGTTCCCTCCACTTTGCATGAAAGATAGGGTCAGCAGTGCAATTTTGGGTACTTAGATGCTTTGCCGTAAAATCTTGTCGTTCCCTCTAGTTTCCATGAAAGGTTGGATCAAAGGTGCATTTTTGGGTTCCTTACGCTTGCATGAACGACAGGGTCAACAGCACCTTTTGGGCACTTAGATGATTTGCCGTAAAATGGGGCCGTTCCTTCCAGTCTCCATGAAAGACAGGGTCAACAGTGCATTTTTGGGTACTCAGATGCCCTGCGGTAAAATCGGGCGGTTCCCTCCAGTTTCCATGAAAGACAAGGTCAACAGTGCATTTTTGGGTACTTAAGATGCCCTGCCGTAAAATCGGGCCGTTCCCTCCAGTTTTCATGAACGATAGGGCCAGCAGTGTAACTTTGGGTACTTAGATGCCCCGCCGTAAAATCGGGCCGTTCCCTCCAGTTTCCATGAAAGACAGGGTCAACAGTGCATTTTTGGGTACTTAGATGCCCCGCCGTAAAATCGGGCCGTTCCCTCCAGTTTGCATAAAAGACAGGGTCAACAGTGCATTTTTGGGTACTTAGATGCCCTCCCGTAAAATCGGGCCGTTCCCTCCACTTTGCATGAAAGATAGGGTCAGCAGTGCAATTTTGGGTACTTAGATGCTTTGCCGTAAAATCTTGTCGTTCCCTCTAGTTTCCATGAAAGGTTGGATCAAAGGTGCATTTTTGGGTTCCCTTACGCTTGCATGAACGACAGGGTCAACAGCACCTTTTTGGGCACTTAGATGATTTGCCGTAAAATGGGGCCGTTCCTTCCAGTCTCCATGAAAGACAGGGTCAACAGTGCATTTTTGGGTACTCAGATGCCCTGCGGTAAAATCGGGCGGTTCCCTCCAGTTTCCATGAAAGACAAGGTCAACAGTGCATTTTTGGGTACTTAAGATGCCCTGCCGTAAAATCGGACCGTTCCCTCCAGTTTCCATGAACGATAGGGCCAGCAGTGTAATTTTGGGTACTTAGATGCCCCGCCGTAAAATCGGGCCGTTCCCTCCAGTTTCCATGAAAGACAGGGTCAACAGTGCATTTTTGGGTACTTAGATGCCCCGCCGTAAAATCGGGCCGTTCCCTCCAGTTTGCATAAAAGACAGGGTCAACAGTGCATTTTGGGTACTTAGATGCCCTCCCGTAAAATCGGGCCGTTCCTCCACTTTGCATGAAAGATAGGGTCAGCAGTGCAATTTTGGGTACTTAGATGCTTTGCCGTAAAATCTTGTCGTTCCCTCTAGTTTCCATGAAAGGTTGGATCAAAGGTGCATTTTTGGGTTCCTTTACGCTTGCATGAACGACAGGGTCAACAGCACCTTTTTGGGCACTTAGATGATTTGCCGTAAAATGGGGCCGTTCCTTCCAGTCTCCATGAAAGACAGGGTCAACAGTGCATTTTTGGGTACTCAGATGCCCTGCGGTAAAATCGGGCGGTTCCTCCAGTTTCCATGAAAGACAAGGTCAACAGTGCATTTTGGGTACTTAAGATGCCCTGCCGTAAAATCGGGCCGTTCCTCCAGTTTCCATGAACGATAGGGCCAGCAGTGTAATTTTGGGTACTTAGATGCCCCGCCGTAAAATCGGGCCGTTCCCTCCAGTTTCCATGAAAGACAGGGTCAACAGTGCATTTTTGGGTACTTAGATGCCCTGCCGTAAAATCGTGCCATTCCCTCCAGTTTGCATAAAAGACAGGGTCAACAGTGCATATTTGGGTACTTAGATGCCCTCCCGTAAAATCGGGCCGTTCCCTCCACTTTGCATGAAAGATAGGATCAGCAGTGCAATTTTGGGTACTTAGATGCTTTGCCGTAAAATCTGGCCGTTTCCTCTAGTTTCCATGAAAGGTTTGCTCAACAGTGCATTATAGACACTTAGATGCTTTGCCGTAAAATCTTGTCGTTCCCTCTAGTTTCCATGAAAGGTTGGATCAAAGGTGCATTTTTGGGTTCCCTTACGCTTGCATGAACGACAGGGTCAACAGCACCTTTTTAGGCACTTAGATGCTTTGCCGTAAAATCGGGCCGTTGCCTGTAGTTTCCATGAAAGATAGGGCCAGCAGTGTACTTTTGGGTACTTAAATGATTTGCCGTAAAATGGGGCCGTTCCTTTCAGTTTCCATGAAAGACAGGGTCAACAGTGCATTTTTGGGCACTTAGATGCTTTACTGTAAAATCTGGCCCTTCACTCTAGTTTGCATAAAAGACAGGGTCAACACTGCATTTTTGGGTACTTAGATGCCCTGCCGTAAAATCGGGCCGTTCCCTCCACTTTGCATGTTACATAGGGTCAGCAGTGCAATTTTGGGTACTTAGATGCTTTGCCGTAAAATCGGGCCGTTCCTTCCAGTCTCCATGAAAGATAGGTTCAACAGTGCAATTTTGGGTACTATAGATGCTTTACCGTTAAATCGTGCCGTTCCCTCCAGTTTGCATGAAAGATTGGGTCAGCAGTGCATTTTTTGGTACAGTCGAACCTGTATTTAACGGCCATGTAAGCGTCCACCCTCTAGTAAGCCGCCAGTTTTCAAAGTCCTGCTTTTTCGCTCACACAAACCCTGTATTTGTTACCTGTATTATGCGGCCACCCTGTAGTCTGTGTAGTAGTCCTATGTTTGTCTTTCTTTGTTATTTTTAGTTGTATTTGGCGGCCACTAAGCGATATGTCATTCTATGCATTATTTCATGGTGTTTAAAATGCGATCCATCATGACTATAGAAAACTAACATGTACAATCCCGGGGTACAAAGGTACTCTAAGCTGATACTCGGGCGTTTAGTATCATTAACGCTTTTCAGATGTCCTCAGATTTATTGCATAGTACTTTTACATAATGTTACGTATTTTATACCGTTAAGGTACCAGTTGGCACCGAACTTTGTTTCAAGTATTGATCGCTTGAGAGAATTTTGATTGTCGTATTGTTTCCTTGGCATTAAAACACGCCCGGTGAGTTTTCTTTTATCCTGTATTAAGTGGCCAGTTCCTCAAGTCCCGAAGGTGACAGTTACACACTGGTTATATACAGGTTCGACTGTATTTGGATCCTATTTACTAGTCTATGGCAGTTAGTCTGGCGCTTCGATGACCTGGCGAACAAACAGGCTGTTCCTTTCATTTTGCATAAAATATAGGGCCAACGATGCCTTTTTGGCACGTAGATCCCATTTTCAAGTAACTGGAAAATTGCCTGCCACTGATAGCGGCCGTAAATTCAGAGTGTCCCTCCTTTTTTCATGAAATGTAGGGTCGAACAATACATTAGTGGTACGTCTCATTGTCAAGCTAATGTGAAACGTTCGTGTACTTTACTGAGCTGCCAATTGCCAAGTTTGGGTGTGTTCCTCTATTTTTTATGGGATGTCATTGTTTAAGACTGCGAAATCACCTGGCAGTCCAAATGAATTGTTGAGAAATCTGTTTCCCTCCACTAGCTTCACTTCTTCGTGTAATATTGGGACAAATGCGCTGGCTCCCTTTTCGTGATGCATTGCGTTAAAACGTCTGGTCTTTGAATGAGTTGCTACGTAATGAGACCCTATACTTTCATAGAGTATTCTGTACTTGTTTGGGCTGCCGTAAATTGAAATTGTTTGTTTTTCACTTTAGTTAATCGGGGCAATGCAGCATGTTTTATTTATTCGCTCGCCACTTCGATGAGCCACTCACACGACACACGTGTATTACTTTGAATATTTTGTTTATTATTTTTTGTATTTGCAATGACTAATTAAAACATCATTTAGGCTAAATTGAAATACATATCTCTATACAACTTTAATTATTTGAAAATGAAGGAAATAGAATGGGGATCAGTACAAACTGTTTGTCTTAACTCACTCGTCCCTTGCAAAAATAATCAGTTCGTGCAAGATCACTACCACCACAAGGATTATAATTTACTCTATATTAAATGTACGTTACAGATGTACTACACATTACTGGGAGCCTATATCATATTAATCAATATTTCTGAAAACTTTGACTTCACGCTTATCTAAAATAACAGGGATCAACTTCGTCCCTAGGACGCTTTTCCCTGGCTTTGACAATTGCAAGGGACGTACTCGAGGGATATACAAGGATATACTCGAAGGTGGTATCAAACCCACCTCATTAATATAAAAAAATGCCTTTGTTTCTAGTTTGCCTACTGAATTACGTTATTACACTCGGCAATATTTAGCTTAATTTTTGATTAATTATAACATTTAGTTATATTATATGAAATTAGCGATAGCTGTTAAGGGACCAGTCATAAAGTACAGGGGGAAGAGGGGGACGGGGGGGCTATGAATTTTTTTTTTAAGTACTGGTTTTCAGTGGCCCACCCCTGAGTTATTTGACAAAATTGGGGCGGCCCACCCCTGGAGTGGCACAGAAAAAACTAGTGACCTACCCCCCAACCAAAACCAGTAACGTTGATGTGGATAGGTACATTAGGGAACATTGGCTTACCACTTTTGTCAGAATCTCCAAAAAATCTTCGAGATCGAAATGTGAGTGAATGAAAGAAAATAAAGCACAAGCTAGGAAGCGACGCCGTGAAAGAGCAGAGGAAAATTGTGAGAGAGTGTTCTCCGCAATCAGTCACTCATTATCTTATGGTGAAGTTATAACCTCCGATCATTGTAGTTAGATAGGCCTTAACATCTTAACAAAGAGAGATGGTAGGTGGTTCTAAAACTATTAATAAGTAAAGGTAAATTTACAGTGGATTGCTGTTTAAACAATCAGAGCAAACGTGACCAGTTGTATTGGGTGCTATAGATGATAGTGATGATGATGATGATGATGATGATGATGATGATGATGATGATAACGAGAAGGAGGACGAGGACGAGGAGGAGGAGGATGGTAATGCTTCTGAGGGTGATGGTAATGGTCAAGATGACTAAAGATGATTAGAAGAAGATATTAAAAAAGATGTTAACATAACTTAGGTTTATGAACACACAGTAAAGCTTTGTTCTAGATTTTATACTATAAAAAGTTTCCCGCGTGACTACTCTTCAGAGTTAAAGACTGTACATAAATAGAAACAAAATATTTAAAATCTGAATTCCTGTTGTCATATAAAGTTGGATTAATGTGGAAAATTAGATTTATTGTTAAAAAAAGATTTTACTAAAGTTTGTAATGATATGTGAATAATTTCACATGACCCACCCCTAATGCAGTGCATTATTTTTCCCTGACCGACCCTTTTTAACGTGTTAAAAAATAGTGACCCACCCCCAACTTTTCAAAGCCCCCCCCCTTTGTACTTTATGACCAGTCCCTAAAGTAATTCAGGCTTTTCACAAATTAAATAAAAACAAAACATGAATTTAAATTTACCGAATGGTAGATGTTGTGTTTAGCAGTTCACATGTAGTATTTTGTGGTTTCTGATCATCCTTTTATCACATATTCCATTTTCCCATTTGTTCTTAATTATTTTATTCAAATTTTATTTTCGAAGGGGGCCTCAGAAATCCCCTCATTTGATAACGATAAAAGATGTTAAAAAGTCCGGTCTGAAGAATTTCTCGCTTAACCTTCGTCTTCATCGTCACCATCTCGTTCTCTTCTCGCCGTCCCAAGACCAGATTTTTTCGTTAAACGTTTCTGTTTCTCGATTCTGAATAGTTTGATGTTAATATCATAGAGATACATTTCATTTGGAGAGAACTGCAATAAAATTTCTTCCTCGAATTTGCCCGCCTTAAAAACGCCCGTGGATCTACATCCTATGGGATGTCACACACGCTGCACTCGCCATTGCAAAATTCTTTACTTTGCGCCCTTGGAAGACCAGATTTTTGCTTTAAACGTTCCTTTTACACGATTCTGAACAGTTTCATGTTAATATCATAGAGATACATTTCATTTGGGGAGAACTATAATGAAAAGTTCCTTCTCGAATTTGCCCGCCTTAAAAACGCCCGTGTATCGGCATCCTATAGGATATCACACACGCTGAACTCGCCATTCCAAAATTCTTTACTTTGCGCCCTTGGAAGACAAGATTTTTACTTAAAACGTTTCTCTTATACGATTCTGAACAGTTTGATGTTAATATCATAGAGATACACTTCATTTGAGGGGAACTGTAATAAAAAGTTCCTTCTCGAATTTGCCCGCCTTAAAAACGCCCGTGGATCGGCATCCTATAGGATGTCACACACGCTGCACTCGCCATTCCAAAATTCTTTACTTTGCGCCCTTGGAAGACAAGATTTTTACGTATTTTTACTTAAAACGTTTCTCTTATACGATTCTGAACAGTTTGATGTTAATATCATAGAGATACACCTCATTTGAGGGGAACTGTAATAAAAAGTTCCTTCTCGAATTTGCCCGCCTTAAAAACGCCCGTGGATCGGCATCCTATAGGATGTCACACACGCTGCACTCGCCATTCCAAAATTCTTTACTTTGCGCCCTTGGAAGACAAGATTTTTACGTATTTTTTACTTAAAACGTTTCTCTTATACGATTCTGAACAGTTTGATGTTAATATCATAGAGATACACCTCATTTGAGGGGAACTGTAAAAAAAGTTCCTTCTCGAATTTGCCCGCCTTAAAAACGCCCGTGGATCGGCATCCTATAGGATGTCACACACGCTGCACTCGCCATTCCAAAATTCTTTACTTTGCGCCCTTGGAAGACAACAATTTTTACGTATTTTTACTTAAAACGTTTCTCTTATACGATTCTGAACAGTTTGATGTTAATATCATAGAGATACACCTCATTTGAGGGGAACTGTAATAAAAAGTTCCTTCTCGAATTTGCCCGCCTTAAAAACGCCCGTGGATCGGCATCCTATAGGATGTCACACACGCTGCACTCGCCATTCCAAAATTCTTTACTTTGCGCCCTTGGAAGACAAGATTTTTACGTATATTTACTTAAAACGTTTCTCTTATACGATTCTGAACAGTTTGATGTTAATATCATAGAAATACATTTCATTTGGGGAGACCCGTAATAAAATATCTTTCTCGAATTTGCCCGCCTTAAAAACGCCCGTGGATCGGCATCCTATAGGATGTCACACACGCTGCACTTGCCATTCCAAAATTCTTTACTTTGCGCCCTTGTAAAACGAGGTTTTTGGTTTAAACGTTTTTATTACACGATTCTGAATAGTTAGATTTCTATATCATAGAAATACATTTCATTTTGGGGGAACTGTAGTAAAATTTCTTTCTCGAATTTGCCCGCCTTAAAAACGCCCGTGGATCGGCATCCTATAGGATGTCACACACGCTCCACTCGCCATTCCAAAATTCTTTACTTTGCGCCCTTGGAAGACCGGGTTTTTGGTTTAAACGTTTTTGTTACACGATTCTGGATAGTTTGATTTCTATATCATAGAAATACATTTCATTTTGGGAGAACTGTAGTAAAATTTCTTTCTCGAATTTGCCCGCCTTAAAAACGCCCGTGGAACGGCATCCTATAGGATGTCACACACGCTGCACTCGCTATTCCAAAATTCTTTACTTTGCGCCCTTGTAAAACGAGGTTTTTGCTTTAAACGTTTCTCTGACACGATTCTGAACAGTTTGATGTTAATATCATAGAAATACATTTCATTTGGGGAGACCCGTAATAAAATATCTTTCTCGAATTTGCCCGCCTTAAAAACGCCCGTGGAACGGCATCCTATAGGACGTGACCAATAGCGCTCCCCCGAAACCCAGAATATTTCATTTTCCGTCTTGAGAACTACAACTGTCTACCAAAAACGTTTTATCTCAAAACACTGATGGATTGTAACCCAACACAATGAAGTAAAAGTTCACTTTGATCAATTTAACTTCGCCTTATTTCTTATTCGTCTTCGATGTATGCGGAATTAGCTGGAATTGTTTGAAAATTTGCGTTTGTTATATCAAATAGTCGTTAATATATGTTCGAGTTTCGTCTATTCATCTTCCGCTGTATCAAAAAGGGGGATTTTTTTTAATTTGATCGAAAATATAACGGTTACTTGCACAGATAGTTGTGTAGCCTATGGACCGCCATATTGCCCGTACTATAGTACGTAATTCAGCGGGTGATGCCCGCGTAATTTGGTCCATTTTCAGCGGGTATCACCCACAGGAGTTGCGTGAATCGGGTGTTCGGTCAATGTTTGTGGCTTGATTGTCATTCAGCTGACGAGCCCCAAGAGATGACTGGCAGATGAGTTATGATTTTGCTGTTTTTTTGCACCAGTTGTTTCACGTTTGGAAATGTACTTTATCTCTTCACATTAAGCAGGTATACAGTGTCTTTCGTAGCTACGATCGTTGACAGTTTGATTCTTACAATGTCACCTTGCTGAATACTGCACTCGGGAGAGTTATGCACGATCAACGCGTACGGTTTAACTTTTTGAGACGTTTGCAACTGCTAAGACCGATCTAGGGTAGTTATTTTTCACTGATAAGAGTTTAATGTCACAACGAAGTACTGTTTGTTTGCTGATCGTTTTGAAAGTGTATCAAAAGGTTTACGCGTTTGAAAACTGTTGCGCTGCGATATGATTTGCCACCTTCATAAACACTGATACATGTATTAATTTTCCAATGTAGACTATGTTGCTCGGACGCGATGAGGAGATCATAATGAAAAAATGGAAGGATATGCAAGCTTGCCTATGTTTTCACTTTAATGATGAATGAATTCCCTCCAAATAGTAAAACGAAAGACATCTCATGCTGCACGGGGTTTTCCTTTGCGTTGCGGAAACTATTGTTAGTTGGCTTTGTCCATTGTCTTTTCATTCCCCTGTATAACTCCATACTCTGTCATCGCAACCGCCGTCCGCGAATCTAAGAAAGTACAGACATTTAACTAATATTTCAGTTTGCTTTACTTTTTTCGCAGATCGGTGTTAAAAGTATGATGTTGTCAAGCTTTCAACGTTCGGCTTCCAGCTGGAGTTGACAGGCGTCTTTCCTGCAACTGCATTGATGTGAAAGTTTTCAAAAGGGTAAGGAAGCTTATGGTTGTGTGTGTGTTTTGTTCAGACGAACACCTAACCTTGTTCCCAGGGTTCTCTCTCTTGCTTCAAGAAAAAACCCTGGCTGATCATGTAGATTTGTGTGTCAATAAATTCTGGAGTGGGGGGAGGTTGTCTACTAAAAGTTGTGGAGTGGACAATGAAATACTATCTGGGGTAGGGAGAAAAATCTTACTTCAAAATGGCACTTGATCTCAGCCTGGGTATGATATCCTGAAGAGAGGGCGTTGAAATTCTGCAGAGCATTGTGCAATGGTCAGCCGTTAAATCAGTCATGGTAGGCAAAGCTCATTTTGTTCTTGAATGGTAAGAAATTCTCAGTAATGATAGATCAAGCATCAAAACATATAAATCTTAATGTTTTTGCTGCCGCAGGGATTTTGCCCAGAGGGCGAAATTCCAAGGAGGCACTCTAGTAACTTGCGCGTATATTAAGGAAAGTACTTACAGCTGAAATATACAGTCATACAGTCAATATAGAAAAAATATTGATTTGCTTGAACAGGGGCCGCAAGGAATCGGTAGGTAATGATGATGTTTCTATTGTTTGCGCCCACAAGCATGAAATGGTTGGGATGATGTAAAGACCGAAGGGACGGCTCAGGTACATTTTGTGACATGTACTGTGCAGTCATACTTCGATACTCTTTTGTGTTACGCAGTGACATTCTGTGGAGCAGTTGTTTTGAAAGTTATGGACCAAAAGACACTCGTTAAGTGCAGATGAGGTTATAAGGTGTGTTTAACTGTGTATATACAAACACTTGGAAAGTTTGCCAGACACGAGTTCACAAATCTTTGATTTATATTGGAAACCTTGCCAGACACTCTTTCTCTCTCTTTGACCAGAATAAGACTCAGCCCTAAACAAGCAAGAACAGTGAACAATGGCTAGCTCATCACTAGCAGAACGATCGACAATTACAGAAATTCGCCGACAGTCAAATTCTGTGCTGACTTATTCCCTGCTCAGAGATGTCCTTCCATTATAAAGTTTCAAATAAGACTAGAATGCGCTAGTGTGAATCGTCAAACGTCATTTTAATTTCTAAGGCTTAACTTACTTTCTGGCAAATACTAATGTAAGTAAAGTTTTTCTGCAATGCTGTATCATGCTGGGTCCAGCTTGTTAGTTTTGCATGGAGAATGTTAAATTATTACGGATAGTGATTTACAGGTCGTGTGTACTCTTGCAATAAAACGTGACATTGAGTAGAGCAGATGCACAAGGCAACTGTAATATCATCACGACTGCGCCATTCGTCGGTTGTCCCAACAGTGTTACCTCTTGCGTCTTTGGCTGTATGTTTTGCGACTACTGGGGAGACTTTGCACAAGCAAAACCTGCGTAAGACATCAAAGACTGTTGACATGTACATTTAATGTCCAGTCTTGAAAGATCTTCACTTCAATTAAAACTCTGTTGCTTTCACATAGATCTCTGAGGTCTTTAAGACTCCCTCCACAGCTGATGTTTTGATTCTCAAATTAGCAGTGGTCTGTTGCTTTTGTGTTTCCGGTCTCATTTACTTCTGTCACCGAGTGATGCGGTTCACAGTTTCCTCCCTTGTCCTTTTTCTTACTCAGCACTTCGTGCCTGGGTCGCCCTTTGGACGACGGCCTTCGGTCACTCTTTGGGCAACATGCTGTGTGCCAATGAGGATATGGCTTGCACCTATTGATTTTCAAAATGGTGAACAACCAAGTCGATCTGGGTCAGATAAGAAGGGAAGAAATCATTTACAGTAGATTCATAAAGATCCCATTGGGCTAATTAATCATGCTAAGCGACAGGTATAGACATTTTTCAAGGTGAGACTTTAAGTAAGTAATTCATTTATTCACACGAAACTCCTCTGGACCCTGTGTTTCAGCAGACACATGAAATTGTCATTATGTTTAATGGTAGATTGAACTTCTTCATCTTCGATGAGCACAGGAAAAAGGAGAAGAAATAAGAGCGGAAAATAGTGATAAATTTCTATACAATTTACAGGTTGTGAGAAATGCTGCAGTCATTTGAAATATCCTAGACCAATAGCTGGAACTATTTACAAGCAGTAGAAAGATAGGAGAAATTGAAAAACACATAAAATTCTTATCAGGTTATAGAGAATGACAAAAATACTACAGTTAATGAGTTTCTGTTTAATAAGTAACTGGGAAGAGAAGAGTTAATGTAAATGTCATCGTTTTTGTTTGCACACGATACCTGGAAACATTCCTTGAGGAACAAAGTGTGCATCAATCAGTGCTTGCTTAATTGAACGAGTAATGCTTCGCATACTGTATTTCACGGACTGGACTGGACTGGACTTGAAAAACGTGGACTGTAGTAAAACGTGGACTTGTAAAACACACAAAAAAGTAACTTTATTAACACGATCATCTACTATTTGAAGAACTTCTCTTAACATTAATTAACTTCTCTTAACATTAATGTATACAATACAAATAAATCTACGAATAAGATTCATAATCTAATTTAGTGTCATTGTTATATGTATCATATAACATTGTTAAGTAATAGCTGTACCTAGAAATGAACATGATTGTATTGTAGGTGTTTAATAGCAATAAAAACTACATAACTTTGGAGACTCGAGCCGAGAATTTTCGTTTCGTAACAAAACTGAGTTAAGATTTTTTTACTACACTAACAACCCAGATGCTACATACATCTCTGAACTGTTCAATGACGTCAATAACAATAAAAAAAGGTTACCTTGAAAAAACAGGTATCATAACTCCTAACAGTAACGTATGCAATACAAATAAATCTACAAAGAAGATTCATAATCTAATTTAGCGTCATTGTAATCTGTATCATATAATATCGTAAAGTAACAATCTCGGATTCTACAGTTCAACGTTGTCAATAACAAAGTCTTAGTTTTCAACGTCTGATGGTTTCAAATAGTCGGGACATGATATGGTGACATGATGGTAACAGACCACAGTCCAACTAGAACCTTACAGCAAGCCTTTGTATGATCATCTGTTTGTGTTCTTGGAGAAGAAACGGTTGGAGATCGGCTGGTCTTTGCCATAAATTTGGCTCGAAGGAAGGAAAGGTCACCCTGATGCAGAATGGGTTGACATGGTAGTACACATTTGAAATAATTATCTGGTGACATTTGTTGCTGACCTGCCTTGTAATATTGTCAGTGAAGTCTTGTAGTTAACACAAGGTCATCAGGCGGATCGGGTATGGTTCCGTCTGGCTTCAAGGAGTAGCCACAGCCATAAAATTGTGCAACCTTGCTGTCCAGAAACGCAAGTCTGGCGAAAACTAAGATTCCTGGTGTAGGCTTTGGATGCTGAGGGTATGTGGGTGTTGTGTTTTCTTTGACTTGCTGGCATTCATGTTGTTGACAAGGATAATTATTGATTATATTATATTACTCTGGGGCATCTAGTTTTGAAGCTAGAAAACATAAGGTTTTGTACTTTTTGCTGTGAATTGTTCCTTTATCAGAATGTTTATAAAGATATTGAAGAGAACAAGCTACTCATTGGACATGTTGTGTGACAGAAAGCAGGCGATCCAAAAATGAAACTATTATTATTATTGTTGTTATTATTATTATTATTCAACTGGCTGCTTAAAGATTCGATGAAACACAATTACGATTATGAACGGGTGATAAATCAATTTCTTCACGGCCAAAAGGTCTTAACTTGTTTGTAACTGGTGCATATAAACACCTTTTGTACCTAAAAGGTCAAACAGGGGTTGTTACACTCGCTAAACCTTCGGAATAAAACAGCCTAAAAATATATGAACAGAATTGTTAAACGTAAATTAGTTTTTGTAAAAGTCTGTTCACCGTTCAGTTTTATCTGATTACAAATGCGGAAAAAATCTAAAAAAAAAAAGACTTCCGCAGGAGCCTATCCTGAGTCCACGTTCTATAAGTCCACGTTTTACTAGTCCATGTTTTACAAGTCCAGTCTGCAAAATACAGTATGATGTAATGCTTTTGGTTAGTTGCTGGTAAAATTGTGATTTGTACTCACTTTGAGTGCAAAAATCTGTTGGCCACTGAATTGTATTAGGATTTTCTTTCACAAATACTGTCACTGGATTTGATGCAAAATGAACTGGTATGGTGCGCAGCTTACTGAAATCTGATTCCTTTAGAGCCTTTAAGGCATCTGTGAACAGTGTGTTGGCGATTCTATGAAGACTGGGAGGACCTGCTGCTTGAATTCTCCTTAAGCTACTACAGGACCTCCCAATTATTAGGAAACCAGTTCATTCAGTAACTGTTAAAAGAAACAAACAAAAAATTACTTAGTGGTAGTTTTCATTTTGTAAGCATTTAAAATGGGTTTCAAACTGCAAATGTGTGTGTTTCATTTACATGAAATGAATGGAAATTAAAGGAGCTATGTCACACACTGCGCATGTGCGCGAAGAAGCGTTACATCTTGAAAACGTTCGCCAACTTTTTCAAGTTCTGCGGGTGATTCAATATCAAGAGTTTATCGTTTTTTATCTCAGCCATCCGTTAACAGTTCGCATAGTCAGACGTTCGTTAGTATTTCACAGCCCTCTTAGAAGGTTCCTGTGTGTTTTTGTTTCAATTACTCTGATCAACGGCTTATTTGAGGTCAACTGTTTGGAGGTAACAAAATGTCCTCTCATGGAGGCCGCCGATCAGGAAGCGGCCGGAAGAAAATCTTCGCCAGCCAGTCAGCGAGGCTTCAGTTTTGGCGAAAGACTCATAAAAGGATTTCGTTGGATGGAACAATTTTTTCATCTTGGGTTTCTGCGAGGATCAAGTGCGGATATGACAACGATTCCATGTTTGCTGCCCATCTTCTATCGCTCGAGAGAAGAAGAAGGTACCTGCATAAAATGTCTGTTCAGTCTGTCTGCTAGCGGTCTAATTTTGAGTTAATCAGTTGTTTTGAATGTATGTATCTATTTTCTTTTATAGGGAAATTGCATCAACCGTTTGTAAAAAAAGAGGGGCATCGTCCATAAACCTTCCTTCCTCAAAACGACGCCATATTGAAGGTGAGACTTCAGCTGTACTTGATTCTAGATTGAATAAATGTCTTCACATTACTAAATATTACTAGTCCTAAAACTGAAAGGCCCAAAAAAGATCGATAAATATCTGTACTCCCACATTCTACGCTATTCTATAAGACTGAAGTATATTCCTCTCTTATGAAGGGCCACTGTTGTCATCCACTCCTTTGCAAGCATTATCTGTATCAGCACAAGAAAAAATTGATTATTCTGTTGTCAGTGTAGGCAATGATGATTCGAGGCGAGTAAGCATTTAATTCTTGTTTTGAATAACTTTCTAATGCGGCCTGAAAACTGGGTCTATAAGGGAACTTCTATAAACAAGTGGTATGAGTTACATTTATAGTTGTTTGTATCCTTGCTGGTTCAAAGTTGTTTATTTTATCTCCTGTTTAGTGATGTGGATGTGAATGTAACAGGAATTGCTGTTTCAGAGCTGTCAACTCATAATGTTAGCTACCGTGTTCTAAATGACTCAGTTATAACCATTGATGATGCAGACAAGTACCAGGATACTGATGAGTCCACACACACTGACTCATCAGACAGTGAAAGTGATTGTATGGAAAGAAATTCACAGTTTGTATTGATTTTGGTTATTGTTTATTTGTAATGTGGCACTTATTTTGTTTCGACTTTGTAAGAAATCCACGATAAAGTTTTTCTATTCTGTCTCAAGTATTCAGTGCTTTCAATAAACACCGACAGCCAATGAAACTTGTCTACTGCTCTCCTCAGAGGAGTCGGCAACTTTGTTCCTTAAACTGAGGTAACTATGGAAAAACTCTTTCAAACCTTGTTGGTACAGTAGGTTACTCTACTTAAATCAGCTTTCTACTGTACTTCAAAATTTATTGAAACCCCTGAGTATTAATTAAAGCAATGCTTTATCTGGGTCTTGTACAATATTGGTATCTGAGGTTAGTGGGCAGCATGATGCTAGTGAATGTTAATTCTCATTAGCCAATATTATTACGGTATTGAAACTCTGTCATGTGAGTTCAAGTGTGTCCCACTTCAACAATCAAGGAGTAAATGGTAATTGAATCAATCAAGGAAGGAATGTGAGCATCACAACTTTAGAATCAGTAGCAAAGTACAGTATTATTATTCAGTAATTTATTTCATGGTTTAAAATTTATTTCCCTTTGTTTGAAACTCATTATCATACACTATCATACCCATAAACAAACAAAATACAAATTTAAACCAAGGAAAAAATTGAACCACAACATATAAATCCATTGCAAAACTTTTACTTTCAAATTGGCTTGCAATGTAGTGTAAGTGTACCAAACAAAACCAATAATACAATAATTTATGTAATCACTGAATGGTTTAATATTAATTTTGTTTTGAAAGGGTTATTTTCGGTGTACAAGAAGCCTTGCAGGATCTAGATGAAGATCAGATTATTGATTGCGAGAGTGCAATTAGCGACAGTTCTGAAGTATATGACACTGGGTAAGTTTATAAGTTAACATGTTGTTTCTGGGAGATAAATCTTATGACTATGCAGGCCAAATAGAACTTGTTATAATAGTGTGTATGGTGTTATCTGATCCAGTGGAGGGCATCACATTTGGGTGAAGATATTGGCAGTCAATACAGCTTGAGTGATTCTAAATCAAAGGCCAAAGGATAGTGAAACACAATCAATTGCTAATTTTATTGATACCAGAAGACAAATTAACCAAAAAGAAACATTGGCATTAATTAAAAGGTATTCTTGAATTATCTGACCTTCTAGATCTGACACAGAAGATGAGAAAGAGATGAGTGACCAAGATGATGACAACGAGCTTAGAATTGAAATAGATTCAGCCTCAAATCCTGTTGAAAGAACTGAAGCTGATCCGACAATTGAACTGCCAGTGCAAGATTGTCCTGTTTTATCTCAAAACCCTGCCATTGTTTCTCCATCAACAGCGCCAGCTGCATTACCCATGCCCTCTGTTTCTAATATTCCCACTGTGCCCATACAATATCCCAAGCTTAGTAGGCTAGAGGAGCAGGGTACCCTTAAGGAAGAAGTCTCACTGGTCAAGGATACCAAAGTGATTTGCTCACTTGATTTGTTCTTGGAGCTCTTCAAGTATTGCCGTCATCCTGGCTGTGCTAATCAAGCAATCATTAAACACCACACAATTGGTCCTACTCTGATAGTCAACTGGAAGTGTTCGTCTGGTCACCAGGGAAAGTTTACATCATCAAAAGATGTAAATGATATGTATGTAAATAACCTACAAACAGCTGCTGCCATCCTGCTATCAGGGAACAGTTTCTTTAAAATTGAGAAAATGGCTAGATTTATGGGTCTGTCCTTCTTCTCAGATGCCACATTCTACCGGGTGCAGAGACTGTACCTGATACCTGTAGTTAACGAGTGGTGGTCCTGGCAGAGGGAGCAGATTCTTAAAGATTTTATTAATAAAGAAGTGATTGTCTGTGGTGATGGCCAGTGTGATTCTCCTGGGCATACAGCTAAGAATTTATGTTATTTCTTGATGGAGCTGGTCAGTAGCTATATCCTAGATGTTGAGGTGAAGGACAAACGTCATGTTAATTTGGTGTCTGTTAACATGGAGAAAAGGGCATTACAGAGTGCACTTCAGCGGCTTAAAGGAGTCTTGAATGTTGTTGAAATTGTCACTGATGCCTCTTCAATGATAAAAAAGTTGATCGGTAAGATTCAACAAGCAATACTCAACCAAGTTTATCACTCTTACTTTATTTTGTTAACTACATTATGTTCATCTACACAATCTTGCATCAAAAACTCATGGCTTGCAAGCACATTATATGTCACTCGATTCTGTCTGCATGACTGTCCTGTTGTCCTTCGGCAAAGTGTTTGTTACTTGTTTTCCCTTACATTGACCATTTTTTTCGTGAACGAAATAGACTGTTATTCAAGTTTGGCATCCTTTTGCAGGCCATAATCTAAAAAGAAACATATAGCACTAGTCACTTTCCCAATTTGTGGTTTTTGTTCTTTTTTTCAGCTGACGAGTTTCAAGGAGTGTTCCACAGTCTGGATGTGTGGCACAAATCAAAGAGTATAAGGAAGTGCCTGGCAAAGGTAATATTTTCTCCAGCGGTCAATCAATTCTTATGGCAATCTTGGTATTATTTGAGAAAATAACTGTCTAACCACAGGAAAAATTATTTCATGGTTAGCAGAACACTTTTTACGTTGTAGATACCAAAAAATACCAACTATTCTCTGCTGACTCAATACTCATAGGTTGGAAAATTAAAAGACATGGAAAAGATAAAGGATTGGGCAGATGACATAATCCTGCATTTCTGGCATTGTGCAAGCAGCTGCAAAGACACGGCAACAACCAGTGACGACGAGGCTGTTGAAAGCATGAAGGTAGTCATACTGTTACATACGAATTTCACCTCTTTCACATGTTGGCAGTGACAGTCTTCCTTAGAATTGAATGTTATTGTAATATATATTTTTTTGCAGAATAGCAAACATATAGCAGCCCAGTCGAAATGTTTTGAAGTGGTAGGCAGGATATCCAAAGTACTAGGCAGCAAAGGCCAAAACTTGTGTGGTTTTTCTTTTGATATTACTAAACTGACACAATGTGAGTTTTGAGTAGGCAGCAGAATAATATTGCCAAAATTGCCAACTGCTGGCTCATTTTTACTAGGCTGATACAGTCTCTTTTGTTTTTTAGAATAAGTGGATTGCACTTTTGCATCATGTGTGTGACGAACATGACTGGGTTGGAGGCAGTTGTGAACACGATGAGTTACAAGAACATAGCCTTCCATGGTTTGACCGCAGGGATAAGGACTTTGAAGCGCTTCAGAAGATCATTTTAGAACCACAGCTCCTTGCAAGCTTCAAATCTTATGTTAGATTCAGGTAACCAAAAGGGAGAGAGTGTTTGATGTACATTTACAAATGTCATTTTAATGTTTTAAAAATAATAGTACATCGAACAAAAGTCTTTTTATCCATTTTTCAGACAACACATTTATCAAAAAGCAATATTTTTCATCAGATTAGACATGTCTTGAAGTCAGATTATACATCAGACATAAGACAAAATGTAGTTTCCTCCTTTTTAGTGTTACAA